CAATTAAACCATTTCTATATGTCTATGGAGACATAAGACACTTACTTCATCCTTATATGATTATAATTAAGTAAAAAATAATAATAAATAATAATAATCTACAAATGCATACCAGTTAGCTAAGTTTTACTTCAGGAGGAAGTGCATACAAATGAATAGACTGAGTTACAGTTGCAGTTAATGTCTGACTAGGAAAACAGACAGGAATATTATTAATGTAATGAATGAGAGATTCCCACATTTAAGGAAGGTCCTCTATCAAAACATTTGCACGTATTTGCTTTCGCTGGCCATAAAAAGGCCTTTAGTGATGAACTATCATCAGGGACGGATTATGACACAGCGGTGCCCTGGGCACAGACCGATTAAAGGCTCCTCTCGGTTGAAATTTTGTTCCTTTTTTATTTCGAAATTTTCCCAAACTTGTTAACTATATCATAAAATATCACGATTCTCAAATATAAGTAAATGCATTTTGCACCTTTATAGATCATGTTAGTTTATCTATAATGGGCTGTGGGAAAAGTAGCCTAATATTAGTGTAATCTATTAACTAGCCTATGCATAAACCCCGTCTTTTAACTTGTAGATATGTTTACTAATTATAACACTTTCTTTGTACATAAAGAGAGCAAAGAATATTTGCATTATCAAAGAATATTAACTGCAGTCTAGACAGAGTTCAAGCACTCTCAACAACTCCCATTATAACCACTGAAGCTGTTTATACTGTGAAATGAATATATTATCATTGTACACACATCTGCGCTTTGTTTATGATGAGAGAATTCGCCAGGGAGCAGCATTCAGTCAGAGAACACGCACACTGAACGAAACAGGCTTTTCAGCGATGACTCATCTGAATGCCTCTGATTGGCCATTGCGTTCATAAGCCCAACAGAATCCTGTGTGATTGGTTATAATGCTCAGCACTGTAAAAACGTGTCTGGCTCAACGCAAGCCAAAGCACGAACGCAGATTTGAATTTGGCAGCTGGTTCTGTGCCGCACTGAACGTTCTCAATCGTATCAAATATAAAAAAATATATTATTTGGTCTTTTGGAAGCTGCATTCAAAATCCACTTTGCTTAAAACCCGTGCGTTAATCTGTCCCTGGCTCTCATATTTTATTCTCACTATCACATATTTTAGTTTACTGTCGTCGTGGGTCATGTGACACGTGAAAACCATTTCCAATCAGCATCATTGAGGTCAAACCTGGCATGATCGATCTTCAAGTGGTATATTAAAATTTACGTGAAGAGCTGGTGGAGGGAAAGCATCCCAAATTTATAACATAGACTCATTGGAAAAACGTTATCTACCTGCAGTTTCCAGTTAAAATGAACACTAATGGCAGTAAAATACTAACAACTTTGTGCTTTCTCACAAATCATGATTACAGAGGTAGATTATTGATTAATAAACTTAAAAGTATTAACAAGCTAAAATGACATGGATGCTTCAGCAAATGCATTTTTATCTCATGTTTGCTCACTAACGCTTAGGTTTAGTGTAGATGGTACATTATTTTAAGATTACGTTAATAGAGCATTTTCCTTTTAGTGCCACTCACTGGAAAATCCATTTCCAAAATATCCCAATACGTACAACAACCAGCGCCAGATTCACATTCATCTGTTTTGGAGAAAAAAAACTGAACACTTTTAGTGCCACTCACTGGACATTTCATCTGGAAAGTATTGCAAAAGATGCAAGAAACAATGTAATATTTTGCAGAAATACTACCACTGGCACATTTTCCAGTGAGTCTGGGTTGTAAATTAAAGTCTGTTCCTCAGACAAAGCTTGTGTTGTTTTAAAAGATGAGCATGAGTCGTATGAACTGATTCCATGGAGCGGTGCCCTGGGCACAGACCGATTAAAGGCTCCTCTCGGTTGAAATTTTGTTCCTTTTTTATTTCGAAATTTTCCCAAACTTGTTAACTATATCATAAAATATCACGATTCTCAAATATAAGTAAATGCATTTTGCACCTTTATAGATCATGTTAGTTTATCTATAATGGGCTGTGGGAAAAGTAGCCTAATATTAGTGTAATCTATTAACTAGCCTATGCATAAACCCCGTCTTTTAACTTGTAGATATGTTTACTAATTATAACACTTTCTTTGTACATAAAGAGAGCAAAGAATATTTGCATTATCAAAGAATATTAACTGCAGTCTAGACAGAGTTCAAGCACTCTCAACAACTCCCATTATAACCACTGAAGCTGTTTATACTGTGAAATGAATATCTTATCATTGTACACATCTGCGCTTTGTTTATGATGAGAGAATTCGCCAGGGAGCAGCATTCAGTCAGAGAACACGCACACTGAACGAAACAGGCTTTTCAGCGATGACTCATCTGAATGCCTCTGATTGGCCATTGCGTTCATAAGCCCAACAGAATCCTGTGTGATTGGTTATAATGCTCAGCACTGTAAAAACGTGTCTGGCTCAACGCAAGCCAAAGCACGAACGCAGATTTGAATTTGGCAGCTGGTTCTGTGCCGCACTGAACGTTCTCAATCGTATCAAATATAAAAAAATATATTATTTGGTCTTTTGGAAGCTGCATTCAAAATCCACTTTGCTTAAAATCCTGAAGGGGCACGGTTGAAATCGCGTTCCTGGAGGAGCATTATTTCGGCTGGGCCCCCCTCTGGTCTAGTGCCCTGGGCACGTGCCTGGTATTCCCGTGCATTAATCCGTCCCTGACTATCAGTCATAGTCTTTAAAATAACATGTATTTCTCTCTGTACATATCCTGCCATAAACAGTACAGTCTTCATATTACAAAAGCACACAGAAACCCCGTAGGTTTGCCTAAAACTTGCCTTTTGCTTTTAAGATTCTTCAAGTACATTTCATACTACGAGCAGCCTTAAGTATATACTTTTGTGTTTGTATCCCAGAACTTTTAATAAATAAAAATGAATTTTCAAACCCATAACATATTTTCTTAATTAAATGATGTAAAACCAAATTAAACCACATAATATATTTGTGTAGGGCTTAAGAGTGCAAAACAAACAAAGAAAAAACAATGTTTAGATTATATAATAAAATTAACAGGATTTTATTATATAATTAATTAATATAATTATTACTATTATTACCCATAATAGTAATAATAATAATAACATTTAATTTTAAATAATTAAATAAAAGATAAGGCCTATTTAAAAAAAATCCAGCAAAAATAAATTGTCTATCCAATGCAGTCACAACCAATCATATATATATATATATATTTTTTTTTTTTTGTTTGTTTTGTTTTGTTTTGTTTGTTTTTGTGGAGCAGGATTTTGGACCAATGAGATTTCACTGTGGGCGGGTCTAGTCAGCATTACACAAACTGACTGAAAACTAAGATTAACATTGAAAATATATATTTTACCACTTGCCGCCTTACGTTTTTCTGCCACTTAAGTTTATCCCAGACTCAATATGCAGTGTGTTGCTCAAAGCAGATATAATTACCAGTTTCAGATGTCATGAAATGCTAGTTAATGATGCTGTGGATGAGGATGTGTAGATATACAGTACAAGCAATATCTCTACCAGACCCTCCCTTCAAGTGATGTAGGGTAATATTATTACCACCACTGAAGAGAACATGCACATTGTACATAAAAATTAGCTTTTTAAATAACATATACTTTCAATTCGTCAGAAGTTAATATGCAAACACCATCAGGTACCGAATTTGCATCTATCAGAAGCTGTAAGACTTTTCGAAGTCACTCAACTCACAACATAAAACACACTCATGAATCTTGCCTCCTTTCCACCTTTAAAAATGTGTGATATAATCTTTCATAGCAATATAGTATATGATATAGTCTAAGCTGTATTTATTCTAACTGTCTTTTTGTATTTTTTTTTATACTATACAATTATATTAAAGTCTTGGAATTTTATAACAGCTCTATCTAAAAATATACTTTTTTATGAAAACTGTCAACTCGGAGGAACGGAAATAAATTCCCAAAGGAACCTACTGAGACCAAAAGCCGCTTTACCGTGAGGAGACATCTGTGAAATGTCTTTGATTTAACCACTTTGGCTGTTGTGTTATTAGTGTAACGGGGTAGTAGCGCTCAGAGTGGCTGATTTGCTTTCACAGCACGAAAATATTGTGGGTGTAATGAGGCTTTACGAAGATTGTAAAAGCCTCTTACTGTCACATCAGTGCAGATTCTCTCTGAGGAGAAACTTCCCGCAACTGTGCAGGAGGTAACAGACATTCTGTTAATTGTTTTTAGGTCTGTAATGAAGTGTTAGCATGTTATATCAACCAATGTGTTAATAAAACCATGTCTGAGGCTTTTGCATTGGATTGGGAAGTATCTTGTCAGAAGAAATGAGAATGCTTAGTCAATGAAGATAGCTTCAAACGTCCTCAGAGATCATCCGAAATCCACCCTTATGTGGGCTAGCGAGATGTAAGTGAACTTTATTTCAATTTTAGCCACTATCTAAGGATCCCCTTTTGGCCACTTCTAAATTATTTTTAAATAATTGAATAAAAAATAGACAAAACTAATGAGGTTTTTGGTGCTCTGAGGTTAAGTGCTAAAGTGCATCCCAACCAGAACTGAACAATGTCTATTGGTAAGGTTTATCAACATTATTTTTGAAGGTGTATGATGTCAATCAAAACTATTGTAACGATGACTATGAAGTGTTAACAAGTTGTAGACCTTGACAAGAGGTGTATCTATCTTTGAATACATGAAACGCTTGGATCTGGTACACCTGAAAACCACCTTAATCTGATTTTGTGCTTCCTGTTTCATCTGAAAGTCTGTTTTTGTACCTTTACAACTTTCGGGATTCTTACCATATCTGCATTATCCAATCAATATACTGATCCTAATGAGGGGAAGTATCTTGGGCTCTACAAGCAGTTTGAACTCAAGGTTCCTGGGCAACTCCCAATCAACAACCGCTAAGCACAAAACAAAAAGTCTCACAAGCATGTAGAAGCTCAGCAACATATCAAGCACTTCTTGAAAGGTTTCAAAGACCTACACTGGATACATGAGATGTAGAGTAGAGGTTCAAACCCAGTCATTTCATGGAACTTTCCCAAAACCCAACCACCTATCACACCAAAGCCAACAGTCCAAGCTGAACCTTGTTCTTCATCTATTCTTCACTGATGCTGTGTTCCCAGGCCACCTTGGCCTGCTCCTCCTTGTTTGTTAGCAGAGGCTGGGAGATCTTGCGGGGCATTGGCCTTGGAACCGGCCTCAGGTCCTCTTCAGGGATACACCCTTCCCTCAGGTAAGGTTTGGGAGGCAGAGCAGGTGCAGGCTCATGGTGGTGGTAGTGTGGGTGGGTGATGTGTATTGCATGTGGGTGGTGATGGTGGAGATGGAGGTGATGATGGTGTCCGTCAGTGGGCATCCCTGGGGCTACGCCCAGTGGGGCTGAGTGACTACGGCAAGGAGTGGGCTTGAGAGGGTCCAGAACTTCAGGCTCGGAGATGCTGTAGCGTACAGGGAGGTAGGAACTCTCGGCTTCCTCCGTGTCCGTGGTCCAGGCCTGGCTGCTCGGCATCGAGTCCAATGTGTCAGCTCGAGCTGGAGGCTCAGAGGAGGACTGAGCGAAGTTGCTCTCGCTCAAGGAGGAGACGCCACTGCTGGCGCTGCCAGACAAGGTGGAGTTACTGCCATCCAGGCCCGATTGTGGACTGGTGGGTGAGGCAGGTATAGGGTGCAGGGGTGACTGGTGAGGAAAGGTAAACAAGGTGTTTATATACAATATGTTGCATGAAGACCTTATATGTTGCAGTGTTAAAACTAAAGACCAGTAGGATGACATTAGTAAGATCTAAAAGCAAGGGTGCTCAACCTACCTCCTGGAGAACTATCTTTATGCACACTTTAGTTCCACCCATGGTCAATCACACTTGTTTATCTTTCCATGAACTTCCAGGAATAGTTCATAGAACATTTTAAATTCTGTCATCATTCAGTCAACCTTAATATCATGAGGGTGAACTTGTCTACTAACCTGCATTAGAAATGAATAGTTCAGCCATGAATCTCTATTCACATTCTAACTAGCTGTGTGCTATGCATGTCCTCATCTTAGCCCTCCGCCTCCCCAGGACCACCTGCCTAAATCTGCAGCAGGGGGATCTTCCTTTCTCTAGCAGCAAAACCATGTTTTCTTTTAATTTTATGATCCAAGCATTTAGCAGAATCAAGTCTACTTGCTCTGCAGCAGCATAAGAGATCTAGTCCATCAATACCAAACCTATGCACATTCTATTTACATTAATAGTTGTTAATGAGTTGCCATGACTGAAATCTATTCACAAATTCAAAAATGATTTGATACTGTATATTAGAGACTTGTAAACATGTTTGCTCAGAAGTATGGCCTTTCCCAACATCAGCAGTGAACATAGTAAGCAACACAGCCAAATAAACCCAAATACCTTGTTTGGCTCCTTCCGGGAATATTTATCAAATTTGGATTTAAAAGTAGATCTCCAGGAGCAGGATTGAACACCTCTTTCTTAAAGCCACAATCAGAGCTGAAGTGTACCTTCTAACTGTGACTTAATATTTTACAGTACAATAAAACATTTTTTTAAATTCTCAAAACATTTAAATATTTCTCCATTTTAACTTTTTAATTTAGATTCCTTCCCCATCTATGTGTCTAATCAGGCACGGCGCCAGAATTTTTTCTCTACCGGTGCTAAGGGGGGGCTAGACCAATATGTGAGGGTGCTAAGAAAATAAATGATATTGATGACGTCAGTTACTTCATAAAGAAATTGTCGTTTTTTTTTAATAAAAGCAGCTATGGTACACACCATATTCAAAAGAAGTGTAGTTTTAATTTATATTTTGCCAATGAATAGGCAAATTCATCAAAATAGATATAATCTTAATACAAGTGACCATAAGACAATGACAAAAACTTTTACATACAAAGGAAAGACTTCAGAAGTGGACAGCACCCATGCGTTTAGCATTAACAACACAATACATTTGTATGCATAATCAGAACTGTGCATACTTAAAACTTAAATAAAACATTAAAACGAACACCACATCACAACCTTAGTGACTATGTATTGGATTGCATATAGCCTACAGAAGGACGATACGTCTGTTGCCGTGGTTTAGTGCAAATGAGGGCTAAACCGGGGCTATTCAAAATTCTGACAGGGTTATAGCCCCCCCTAGCCCCGGTGTATTGTTTGCTCTTGACAAATTGCTTTTGTTCTTTTTTTTCTAATTCGCTTGGTATAATTTGCTGGATGACTAAACCTTACAAATTTCATTTTTACAAATTTTCATCCTACTGATCTCCAGAGAAAATACAACCCAACAACATACATACACAGACACACAAAAATTGCACTACTGATGCATACATATACAAATGCATATGAAACAATTACAATATGAACCCAAAACACTTTAGCATCTTAGGGACACCAAAAATTCCCAACTCCCAAACACCAAAAAATATCCCAAACCAGACTCAAGTACAGTTCAGCTCAGGGTGTTTTGACTGGGGGACATCTGAGGTCAACAGGACGTAAGACATCTCAGAATGCTAGTGCGGGCATGCATGACGAGGACTAACAGGACACATCTAGGTGGAGGATACCTTTCTTAAAGAGCGCGTGGGGAGAGCTGGAGGGAGTTCGTTGATCTGGTGGTGGAAAGCATCAAAGTGCATCAAGAAGTGTCCTAAAGGGGAGACACAGTTGGACAGAACCAGGGTTGGAAAGAGCACACGCCGGTACACACTTGCGCGCAAACACACGTCGACATGCACATTCACTCAGCAAGCACTAGGAAGGATTCTTTCTGAACTTGGCTGATGTTCAGAGGAGAATAATGGGTGGGAAAGAGTGAATGGGGAGCAATGGATCAGCAAATGATCAAATGTGGGAAAAACTTTTTAAAAGAAAGACAGGATGCCACATGTCCAATGTAGGGTGGGTGAAAGGGAGTATGCTACATTTGCATAGTTGATGTGATGTGTAATATTACTGTAATCAAACAAAATGTCAATAGCAATACCCCCCACCCCCTAGTATTTTTTCTTGTCTTTTTTCCTATAAATTACTGGCATGTGCATTTTAAAATAAAATAAGACAAAATATTTAAATAGTGAACAATGTGTAAAAAACAATGTGTGTGTAAAAAATGTTATTTGTCAATCACCCATTTGCTTCTATAAATGCATTTAAGCTTAGAGATGTGATTCAACTATGTCCCTCAAGATGCAGCAACAGGAGGATATTTAACGAAGCCAAGTCCAATTTAATAAAGATTCCACTACAAAATTTAACAATGTAGCAAATATTTTAATTAGGCACCTTTTCATTTCTTAGATTTCTTAACTCTATTGGCTTCATGTTTTCATAAATTCCTCCAAACAGTCTATGCACACCTTGGCAGATATGCATTCCAAACATTTGTCAAATCAGCTTGTGTAGCTGAACAGACATACAGTGGCACCTCATCATGTGTAGAAGATCCAACATAACTAATGATACAACATAAAAGGAATGGTTTCATGAAATGTCTTTCTCTTCATTGAAACCTTTCCTCAAAGATACCGTTGATTCTTACCGGGAGGGAGGGTGCGGGGGGGAACTGGTGGGGCCATCACACTCCCGACATGAGCAGAGAGGAACGGCAGAGTGTCCCTGGTGCCACTGTCCAAACTCCAGCTGCTGGGAGCTGTCAACACTGCCAGAAAGGACAAAGACCACCATCACTATACATACAGGTTTCATTATTGACCCGCTGGATCCTCATCTGAATGTCAGATACCTCAGGAATTCCTGCTTAAAATGTTGAGGTTTGGATGACTGGTGTTTCCAACCAGCTGCTAAACTAGACTAACAAACAAGACTTCCTTACCAAACATTCACAAAGAACCAGTTATGTTGAGTTGGAGAACCCGCTAAACAAGCACTAACCAGGGGTGTGTTTCCCAAAAGCATTGTTAGCTAACTATGGTGGTTTGTTCCACTGAACTCTATTGGTAACGATGGAAATTGCGACCATAGTTGCTTTTGGTAAACGCACCCCAGACTAGTAATTCACATGGTTATGCTGATAAACCAGTTACATCAGCTCCAAACCAGTCTAGGCCAGCATTGAAACTCACCATTTACATTTGTTGGCTGAAAATGTTATTAAAAGTGAAAAAGTAACTTCCCTTCAAAGACTTTGGCTTGAATTGGTTTGGTTTGCCAACAGCAAAAATTAAGTTTTAAAAATGAAGCGACCATGAATTTTAACAGATTGTGTGCAGTTTCCAAATATTAAGGGAAGCTGTGATGCATACGAATTAGTATTCTGGATTGAATGATCGGATAGCATGCATTCATAGACCCATCCTACATAGAACATACTTTTTACCGGACACAAAGCTAGTTATTCATCAAATGCAGTACCTGCTCAGACAGTATGCAATTTCGGATGCAGTGTGTATTGTGGATTTCTGCCTGATCTGAGGGAAATGTGGGACTGTGAAGGAATAGAGGGGTACAGTTGGTTCAGAGAATCATACACACCCAGTCATACCTTTATCAGCCACAAAGAGATTGGGGTCACTGCAGGGTTTGCAGGGACCAATAACCTGATGGTAAAGAGCCCTCGGATGGTTAGTAGGCTAGTGAAACATTTAAAAGAAAAAAATATGTATTTTAATATTATATTTCTGCCATCATCTCACCAAATTTTCTGGCATAGTCTACTGGATTAAAAAAAATCAAATTAGCTGTGCCTTGAGGTAGACATACCTGTCCGTTCTCGGTCATGTTGGGGTACATGGCACTGCTGGGACGGTCCCTGTGCGGCGGTAGGAGCATTAACATCTCTCGGTTGTGTCTGTATCTGTCAGGTAGTGATGGGGACCCAACTGCAGAGAAAGTAAATAAAACATCTCTACGTTTTAAGTTGAGACTAGAAAAGCCATATTTCACCTGAGCTGTTATTTTGAGTGAAGCTAGAAGCACTAAGATTCCTGACTGTCACCACGGTAAGTTAATGTTCAAACGACAATAGATTAGTTCTCAAACATTGGTTGGGAAACACTCAGGGTTAAACCTGGAGTTATTATGAAAAGTTTATTGGCACTTACCTCTGATGTTGCCATGCCCTGAGTTGATCATCTGAGACGGAGCTGAATGTGTCGAGCTCAAACTGGACGATGATGGACTGGGCTGAAATGTTACATTGGGGGGAAAACAGTACTTTAAAAAATTAGATACAGTGTTCTTGTTGTTGTGCAGATGCTAGGGTGTTCTAAGAGGTTGCAAAGGGTGGACAATTTCAAAATCCTAGAAAGTTTCTAAAGATTCTGGGAAGATTCTGGAAATTTCCTGGAACTTTTCCACTCCTTTGCAGCCCTAGTTGTCAGGGAGTTGTTTGGTGGTGAGTGGTTTCTACAGTGTTGCTAGGCAGTTGATTGGTTGTTGCTAGGATGTTGTAAGGCAGTTGCTAGGTTGTTCTAAATGGTGGCTTCTAGGGTGCTGCTAGGCAGTTGCTCAGGTTCCATTTCTAGGTTGTTATAAGAGGTTGCTAGGTTATTGCAAGGTGATGGGTGGTTGTTGGGTTGCTATGAGTGTGTACTAATTCTATGGCATTGCTAAGATATTATAGGTGGTTACTAGGGTATTGCTAGGTTGGATGATCATGGTGGTTTCTAGGGTGTTGCTAAGCGGTCAATTGCTAGGTGGTGGGGTACTAGAAAATTGCTAGGTGGATGCTAGATTGATGCAGTGTTCTGGGTGATCACTAGGACATTGTTGAGTGGTTGCTAGAGTGTTGTGAGAGGTTGCTAAGATGTTAATAAGTGCTGACAGGATATTGTTAAGCAGTTTATAGGTTCTTAGTTGCCTGGGTATTGATAGACGATGGGTGGTTGTAGATTAATTATGAGTGTTCATTAATGCTGGTGTTGTTAGGATATTATGGCTGGTTGCTAGGTTGGATGATCTTGGTGGCTGCTAGGGTGTTGCTAAGCAATGCTAGAGCACTGTTACCAAGATCTTAGTGTGTTCTAAGGCATTGCTACAGCATTGCTAAGTTGTAAGTGGTTGACACTAATATGTGGATGCAAGGTTGATAGGGTGTTTTGGGTGGTTGCTAGGCAGTGGCTTGGTTGTTACTAAGTAGTGCTAGGATGTTGTTAGGCAATTGCTAGTTTGTTCTGAGGGGTTGATAGAGTATTGCTAGGTGATGGGTGGTTGCTGCGGTGCTGAGGGGTTGCTAGAGTATTGCTAGGTGATGGGTGGTTGCTGCGGTACTAATGCCAACACTGCGTCTACACTGGATGTGACCGTTGTTGCTTGCATCGCATCATGCCACAAAAGCTAGAGGCTGTCTATACTGGACGTGACAAACTGACCGTTGCAAATCATTTGTACTTTGTTTCAGCATGTCATAAATAAAACGAGACATCAGTTTACTGTCGGGGGTTTGTCGTGTCGCACCGCATTCAATGTAGACAGCATCACTGATAATAATGGGTTTAATAATGGGTTCTATTATCTTTTGTCATGTCGTGCCAATTGAATCTGGATTAAAGGTGGTTGCTAGGGTATTGCTAAGCGGTAGTTAGGTTGAAAGTTATTGGTGGTTGCTAGGATGTTGTTAAGCGGTGCTAGGGTATTGTTATGGAGATGTTAGGGTGTTCTGAGAGGTCAACAGGTAATTAATAGTTGCTGCATGGTTTCTAGGGTGTTGCTAGGCAGTTGCTTGGGTCTTGCTTTGCAGACGTTAGGTAAAGCAATGTTAGTAGTTAGGATGTAGTTAGGCAGTTGCTTGATTGTTTCTGAAGGGTTTGCTGGGGTATTGCTAGGTAATGGGTGGTTGTGTGTTAGCTTACATGCGACATTAAGACATTGCTAGGATAGTGTAGGTGCTTGTTAGAGTGTTAGCAGTGCTAGGGCATTGTTATGCAAATGCTAAGGTGTTCTGTTTTGTTGTTAGGCTAGGTGGTGGCTGGTTGCTGAGATGTTGCTAGGTGGATGCTAGATTTCTATGGTGTTCTGGGTGATAACTAAGGCATTGCTAACTAAGGCATTGCAGGTAGTTGTTAGGCTGTCCTAAGCGGTTACTATGGTGTTGCTAGAGTTTTCTAAGAGGTTGCTAGGGCTAGGTTGCTATGCAGGTAAACCTCACTTCCCTGGCCTGAATAGGTGCACTAACGACTGACGCTAGAGGTTGCAGTCTTTAGCATCCTTGTTAGCACACCCACTTCCCATGCCAGAAAGGGTGGTTTGAATCCCACTCGGAGCGGGTTGAGTAGAACCGGAGAGCTTACACTAGGACAATGTTTCTCAATTCCAGTCCTCGTGTACAACCACTCTGCATATTTTTCTCTTAACACACCTGATTCAGATAACCACACTGTAACCTAACACAGTGTTCTTTGCTCCCTATTCCCAGAGCACGAGAAATCCAGTGAAGTGACTTAATATGTAAATAAATACAATTAAATTCACGTCTTGCACACTCTAATGCCCTTGGAATGGAACATATATGCTCCCTTCGAACTGGAATCATAGCAGAATATCCTGTGATGTCCACTTCGCAGGGCACTTACGGTTGAATAGAAAAAACATCTGAAGTGATAAGAGAAACATACAAAATGTGCAGAGCGGTGATATGCGAGGACAGGAATTGAGAACCACTGCACTAGGATATTGCTAGATGTATACTTGAGTGCTAAAGTGGATGCTAGGGTGTTTTGTCTGGTCACTAAGGTGAACTTGCACACTATATGTATGTATTAAGAGCGCATGTAGCTCACCTGCATGCGGTAGAGGTCCTCTGGGTGCTCCATCATACTGTCCGTCAGGATGAGCAGGTTTCCCGTCTCACTGGAGGTGTGAGAGGAGAGAGAAGAGGAGGAGTGGCGGACAGAGCCCAACACATTCAGAGGGCTAGAGATAGACAGAGAGAGAGAGAGAGAGAGAGAGGGGAGGAGAGAGATAGGGAATATAGGGGTAGAAAAGAAAAGCAGGAGAAGTGTAGAACGGGGAACACATGCATGGATGAGGAAAATCAATCAAGATGAAGAAAAGAGAGATTGTAGGGTGGTAGAACACAGGCAGCCATGCAAGTATGAACGAAAAAAGGAAGAAAAAGACAAAATAAATAAGAAAGAAAGAGGAGAGTAAAGCATGTACACAGAAGGATGTTAAACATACGTGAGGAAAGTGACAGAAGAGAAAGAAGGAGAGAGAGGAACAAACAGAGAGAGACATGAGAGAGACGTGGCGGAGCTGAAGCTAGTGTGCTCAGAGTGGGCAGCATGAGCGCGTACGTGTGTTTATGAGGAATACACGGTCAAGGAGTGTTTGTGAAGAGAGAGGAAGGGCTGTGTCTACAGAGAACAGGAATATCTCTCTATAACCCACATATATGTGTGTAGAACACATAGACTACACAAATTCATTACAATGTGATATATGCAGTACAAGGCGCCACACAGGAAACAAGTATTATATGGAATAAAAATATATGGAATAAAATCCTGAATATACATACACAATTTGGACCAAGGTTGTTATTGTTATTAAAAATAGTTTTCGGTATTAGATGAAAAAAAATCTATTTCATACCATAAACATAAATAAACAAACTACCAAAAATGACAAAACAACATAAAATTACTAAAACTGAAATTAAAACTAAAATATAAAAATATAATAAAAGCTAATTCCAGAAAAGTTGGGAAGTTTTGTAAAATGCAATAAAATCAAGAATCTGTGGTTTGTTAACTGCCTTCAACCTTCATTTAATTCACAAAGGTACAATTATGTTTTCACTGACCAACTTAAATGTATTTTGTAAATATAAACAAAATTTTCTTTTTTTTTTGACGGCTGCAACACACAAGTTGGAACAGACCACAGTCCACAATAAGCTGGTGAATTGGTAATAGGTCAGGTGTGTTAAATATAGCCACATGGGCTCGGGAGTACTATGGAAAAATGTTGTCACTCTGCCGCTGCATCAAGAAATGCAACTTGCATCAAGACCCCAGCGAGTTCTCTGGGCCCAAGCTCATTTTAGATTGTCCAAAAGACTGAAAATGTGTGCTGTGGTCAGATGAGTCCACATTTCAGCTTGTTTTTTGGGAAACGGCCATCAAACTGTCAGTCCCAAAGGCGAAAGGGACCATCCAGACTTCATTCAGTACAGGTGCAAAAGCAAATGTTTGTCGTAGTACAGGTGCATCTCAATAAATTAGAATGTCGTGGAAAAGTTAATTTATTTCAGTAATTCAACTCAAATTGTGAAACTCGTGTATTAAATAAATTCAATGCACACAGACTGAAGTAGTTTGAGTCTTTGGTTCAGCAGAGCAAATGGCATGGGTGACTGAAATATGTGCCAAGGTACCATTGACATGGAGGCATATATTGGAATTGTACAGAGACATATACTGCCATCAAGATGACATCTTTCATGTGAAGTCCATGGTTATTAGATCAAGACAATGCCAGGTCTCATTCTGCATGTGCTACAACAGCGTGGTTTCGTAGACACATGTGGATGTGACTGACTGGCCAGCAGATCTGTCTCCTATTGAAAATGTATGGCCCATCATGAAAAGGAGAATCAGACAACGACGATCACGGATTTCTGGGCATCTAAAGTCTTGTATAAAGCAAGACTGGGCAAAAAAGTTTTTTGTTGTTTGCAAGGTTGCAACGTTACTTTGCAATATTTTAAATATTTTTGGGTATTTTGCATGGTCTGTTATTGGAGTAGTGTCACCCGGGTGGGAGTTCTATTCACTGGGAATAAAAAAAATCATTTAGCAGATGCAGAGATATATAGAGCGGGGGAATCCCTCCATCTCCCCACCCTCTGATTATGTATCATAACTACGTGTAAACGTTATTTGCCGGTTTTTACTTGGAAACCAGCTATATTTTTCTTGCATTCGAATAATGGATAAACTTGAAACGATAGAAGAAGGATTGGAGATGAATTTAATTTACAAATAAGGTAGGAAATGTGCATACTTTTAAATCGACAACTGCCACGGTGTTTCTTAGCTATTTGGGATCTGTGATCCCTTTTGAGTGTCCTAAAAGCAATTTAGGGGGGCGGTCTTATCACTCAGCATACCTGGTTAAAAAAAGTCACCGCTCACCACTGATATATATATATACAGTGGGTACGGAAAGTATTCAGACCCCCTTAAATTTTTCACTCTTTGTTATCTTAGATCTCTAAGTTCAGCTCATGAAAAATGGGGGCAAAAACAAAAGTGTTGCGTTTATAATTTTGTTCAGTGTATATATCTCACTTATGTTCAAAATAAAAGAATGTTCAATCTAAGCTACAGCATCTGCATTGTGCTGCCAAATCCCACAGAAAATAATTTAATTGCATTTACAGTTGCATTAAAACTTGAAATATTCCTTTAATCTTTATACAGTCTTGTTCTAATACATTCTCTGGCTTGAATGCATAGTTTATACACATTCTATCTGTGTGCATGCGTAACTGTGTCTGTACCGGTGGACTGACCTGTGCCGGTGCATGAGCTTGATACTTTCAGGACTCATGGGACTGTGGGTGGCGAGGATACCGCGTGGGGTGCTGGACCCTGAGCAGGCCGGACTCAGCTTTTCCAGACCGGGCAGGCCCTGCAGGGCCACATAGAAACACTACTCTGAATATACACACTGTCTGTGCTCATGCCAGCTCATATTTAATATAGTTTACAAAAATACTGAATCTGTGCAAAGAATAAAGTGAGAAAAGTAAAATGTATTTAAAAACCCCATGAAATACCTTCAAAAGTTTTCTTTCCTGTATTTATATTTCCTTTTCAAACAGGAAGTTTGGGTGATTATTCCTAATCTAGAAAGCATTTGATTGGACAAATATTTGGAAACGCCCATGAGTGCATGATGAATCATCAATTTCCTTGAAAAAGGCCCATTTTCCTAAAAAAATGTCAGATTGTAGGTATAAAATAATATATTAATTACCTCAAACTAACAGACTTGGGCTAAAAGCCAAAAATATATATATATATTTTTTATTTTATTTTATAAATATAATAACATATAATACTAAACTAAATAAAAAAGTTTGTCAAGTCAAACCTTGATGCTGGCTTGAGAACCCTGACCACAAAGTTTGAAGTAGTTATACAAGCTTGAAGTCTAAAGACCAGTTTAAAGTTTAAAGCTAGGCAATTGCTAAGAAGTTGCTATGAGTGATTGCTAAAGAGTTGCTATGCAACTGCTAGTATGTTTTATGTTGCTAGCATGTTTAAGCTAGTTGTTAGGAAGTTACTAGGGTGTTCTTGGTCATTGCTTGGGAAGTTGCTAGGGTGCTTTTTGGGGGGGATTGCTGGGCAGCTGCTAGGGTGTTCGTGGTGGTTGTGAGGGTGTTGTTATGAAGTTCCCAGGATGCTGTAGGTGATTGCTAGGGTGTTGTGAATGGTTGATACAGTGTTGCTAGGCAGTTACTAGGGTGTTCTTGGTGGTTGTGAGGGTGTTGCTATGACGATGCTTGGCAGTGGCTAGGGTGTTCTGAGCAGTTGCTATGCAATTGCTAGTATGTTTTATCATGTTGCTAACATGTTTAAGATAGACACATGTTGGTGAGATGTCTTATGCTAGTTGTTATGCGATTCGGGCTTTCTTCGGTGGTCGCTAGGGTGCTGCTCTGCGGTTGCTAGGGTGTTGCAGGTTGACAGATAAGCCAACATAGCTGCAATAAAACTAAAATGCATTTTGATTTATCTGGGTCTGTATCTACATTTTGATTATTGGGGCAGAAAATTAATCAAATTCCTGAGAAGCAGATGTGAGGTCTCACATGACAGAGGCTGCTCCTCATCATCTGGAACTGATCGATCAGCTTCTTGTGCAGTGGACGCATTTCCGGATGCACCAGTTTCTCGTGGACGGCCAGACCCACGCCAAGGACATGAACCTGTGCGGTTTATTCAATAAGAACCATTATCTGATGTTTATAAATCTCTTCTGAGTGGTTAAAATGAAGACGTTCTGGAGGTGCTCACCTGTTCCTGCATCAGATCCTTGAGTTGGGTGATCTTCTCCGTATCCTCCGGGTGACTGCTAATGTACTCTTTATCGAAGAACGCCTGGCATAGAAACACAGTCGACAAACTTATTATGAAACCATACTTTTGGATGAAGACTGAACTGTTGATGTTCACTCATTTGGGCAACAAAAAGCTTGTCAGCTGAACATGAAGAAGCGGCTCTGCTAGTGTGAGCTTTCTAAAGCACAATAAACGTCTCTGCCTAGAGAAACCATGTTCTTTTCAACACTTCTAAATCACATTTGGTCAAGTTTGCACTGACTTCCTGGTATCTAGCGATTCCTCCGTTGACGGCGGCGTCGATCACCCCATTGAGGCACATGCTGAGCAGGTTGATGTTTCCGTGGAGCTGCTTGTGCTGGTACTGACTGATCAGGGTGCGCAGCTCCTGGTTCTTGTTCTCCACCACATATATGGCGTTCTCCAGTGGACTAACTTCAACCTACAGTACAGGACACACACGAGGTAAACACAGGCACTCTGAATGCATGTTACAGTTTCTGTTGAGTAAATCTGTACATATATATTGACATTACTATAAAACTATTATCCAGAGTTTAGTGATTGAGTAGTATTTAAAAGTATATTAAGACGTTTAATATGTAAACTCATGACTTCATGAAAGTAATTTTTAAAGTTAAAACTGTCGGTCTAAATTGAGTTTAGTGTTTGGGTAGTACAAATTTAAATGGAATAGAATAATTATTTATGCAAAATCATATTAAAACATTCTATATGTAAATTCATGGCTCGATGAAAGTTAACTTTTTAATTTTTAATTTAATATGATTTTTAATTTAATCTTTTATTTATTATCTTTTTTAAGTTAAAATTGTAACTTTAAATTGAGTTTAGTGTTTAGGTAGTACAAATTTAGATTTGTAAGTTTTTATTTATTTAATTATTTATGCAAAATCATATTACAAATATTCAACATGTAAATTCATCACTTGATGAAAGTTAACTTTTAAATGTTTTATTTAATATGATTGATTGATTTCATTTTTAAGTTAAAATTGTAACTTTAAATTGAGTTTAGTGTTTGGGTAGTATAAATTTATATAAGAGTTTTTGTTTATTTAATTATATATGAAAAATCATATTAAAACATATTTAATATGTAAATTCATGACTTAATGAAAGCAATTTTAATTAAAAATGTTAACTTTTTTAATTTAAACTGCGCTTGTGTACATTTAAACTAGACATTATTTTACTTAAGCAAAAATCATGTAAATTCATGACTTCATTAAAGTTGCATTTTTAAATTAAAAATTTGAAAGTTACTTTTTAAAATTAAATTTGGTTTAGTGTTTGAGTAATATAAATTTCAATTATTTAATTATTTATGCAAAATCATAAAAAAACAGCTGCCCATGAGGCTATCAGCTCCAAATGATTGACTTTGAGATTTAATAAACAGACTAAAATGGTGGCCTCATTATGTTGATGATACATTCGGCTTTCGTTTGGATGAGTCACCCACCAGCTCACGCTTATCCACCTCAAACCAGCGGGAGATGCCAGGCAGAGGGTGGGTGAGGATGAGTGTTGTCCGCTCGATCCAGAGACTCTGAGAAAACACACACATGATGCAACTTCAGCCTGCGCCTGGTGTTAAACTAATTTATCCACTAGTGTTCCTAGAGAAGAACTTCAAATTCACCTTAAATTCATTGTCCTTGTCTTTCGGGCCCTTGTGGAAGGGCCGGTCGTAACGGAAGCGCCGGACATTATTGACTCTGTAGAAGCTCTTGATGCGGTCTGGCACGCGGTCCATCTGCAGCACATCGCTGTTTTCTGAAACTGGAGTCACAGCGTAGATCTGGAGGTCTATGGAGCTTTACATGAAGGACAAACAGCTACTATATTACAAACAAGTAGTGTAGCGTCTGGACCACCCAAACACACAATATATATTTTGTTAGCTAGATTTAACAAATACTCTGTAACACCCCACGAACAGGCCCCTGGTTTCATGGTTAAAAGAATAGAAAACCCTAAAAAAAAATTTCAACTTAATTAATTTATTTATGTGCAAAGCAAAAAAAAAGATATTTTGCAGAGTGTCCAAACTACTCTTTTACTTACAAGTGGTATAGACTTTTGGACAACAAAAAAGTATTGTACAAATTACAGTTACATTTTTAAATTAGAATTAAAAAAAAAAAAACACACAAAACAAAAAAATGATCTTATTAGAGTGAACGATACTATACACCACTGGTCAAAAGTTTGGGATCAGAACGATTTTTAATGTTTTTTACAGGAGTTTCTTATGCTCATCAAGAATACAGGGGAAAAAATTATATTGTGAAATATACATATACATTAAAATCTAATTTATTTCTGTGATGCAAAGCTGAATTTTCCGCATCATTTCAGAATGATGATCCTTCAGAAATCATTCTAATATGCTGATTTATTATTATTCATTATTATCATTATTTATTCAGCAAGGATGTGTTAAATTGTTAAGAAGTGATAGCAAAGGTTTATATTGTTACAAAAGATTTATATTTTGAATAAATGCTGTTCTTTTAAACTTTTTATTCATCAAAGAATCCTGAAAAAAGTATCGCAGTTTCCATAAAAATATTTGGCAGCACAATTGTTGCCAACATTTATAATTCTAATAATAAATCAGCATTTTAGAATGATTTCTGAAGGATCATGTGACACTTTATACTGGAGTAATGGCTGATGGAAATTCAGCGTTGCACCACAGAAATAAATTATATTTTAAAGGATATTAAAATAGAAACCATTATTTTATATTGTAATAACATTTTGCAAGATTACCGTTTTTTTTCCGTATTTTTGATCAAATAAATGCAGCCTTGATGAGCAGAAGAGACTTCTTTAAAAAACATTACAAGTCTTACTGATTCCAAACTTTTGAAAAGCAGTGTAGATATGTATGCATATATTATTATTGTCAATCGATGTGGCGATTAATTAATCTAATTAATCACATATTAATTGGACATCAAATTTGGTTGAGAAATCACCCACAAAAGATAATGTCAATTCATGACTTCATGAAAGTTTAAATTAGAATTTTTAAAGTGTCTGGGTAGTATACAATTCAACTGAAGAATGTTTGTAATTATTTTATTTATGCAAAATTATATTAAAACATATTTAAAATGTAAATTCATGACTTCATGAAAGTTACATTTTTAAGTTTAAATTTCGTTTAGAGTAGTCTAAATGTAAATTAGAGACCCCAAAACTTTTTTTGGCGAAGGATACACTGGGCATCACCCTGTAAAATCCCCTCATCTGGTTGATTTGGGTGCTGCATGGCGATAGCTTGTGGAAATTCTCCCAGCATTCTTTGCTGAAAGGCTTCGAGTCTCTCGTAGTCATGCCCTCGACA